TCACAGCCCATCTGAAAATGGATGTAACTTTGGATGGAGATAATGGCCCTATGACAACACTGTCCATACACAGATGTGACCACCCATCTCAAAATGTTAGACAGTGACACATGCTTGCAAAACAGCCTTCACGTGCCTCAAGAGATTGTTCTGGGGGAGAAAACACAAGTCTGTGTTTTGTTTTAAATGTTTATCTTGGCTGGGCACGGTGGCTCACACCTGTAATCCCAGCACTTTGGGAGGCCAAGACAGGCAGATCACAAGGGCAGGAGTTCGAGACCAGCCTGCCCAACATGGTGAAATCCCATCTCTACCAAAAGTACAAAAATTAGCTGGGTGTGGTGGTGCTCACCTGTAATCCCAGCTACTTGGGAGGCTTAGGCAGGAGAATCTCTTGAACCCTGGAGGCAGAGGTTGCAGTGAGTCGAGATCACACCACTGCACTCCAACTCTGGGTGACAGAGCATGACTCCATCTCAGGAAAAAAAAAAAAAAAAAATGTTTCTCTCTTTGCACATCTCCTTGGTTGTGAGAAAGAACATTCATAGAGGCACCCAAGAGTCACTTTCCTCTTCTTCCATATTTGCAGAGCCCTGGTTTTATTCTGATGGTCAGTTCTCCTCCCCAACTTGAGAATCAGGTTAATCTTGATTGGTTGGAATTAGTCATGATGATCCCATACCCCCTGCCATTGGGTGGTTTAAGGGTGGCTCTGTGACCTTGTTCTAGATGCTCTGACATGAGAATAAATCTGCTGGTGGTGGAGGAGACTTCTCGTAAAGGTTTCTTCACTTGTATAAAGGACATTGTGGCTATAGGGCGTGGTGGCTCATGCCTGTAATCCCAGCTACTCAGGAGGCTGAGGCAGGAGTATGTTTGAGCCCAGGAGTCCGAGACCAGCCTAGGTAACTGAAAAAGAAAAATCATGGTGTAAAGATATGATGATTGGGCTGGGTGCGGTGGCTCACACCTATAATCCCAGCACTTCAGGAGGCCCAGGCAGGTGGATCACGAGGTCAGGAGTTCAAGACCAGCCTGGCCAACATGGTAAAACCAAATCTCTACTAAAAATACAAAAATTAGCCAGATATGGTGGTGGGTAATCCCAACTACTTGAGAGGCTGAGGCAGGAGAATTGCTTGAATTCAAGAGGCAGAGGTTGCAGTGAGCTGAGATCGCGCCCCTGCACTCCAGCCTGGGCAACAGAGCAAGACTCCATCTCAAAAAAAAAAAAAAAGATAAAATGGATGTGATGATTGTTGGTGCTATGGCCCCACCATTTAACATAATCTTTCCTTGAAACCATGAGATGGGAAGCCTCAACACAAACACCAACAATCTGAAGACAGCAGAGAGGAAAGAGAAGAGAGAACTTGAGTGCTTGATGATATGAGTCTCGAATTAACCAACCCTGGAAGCACCCCATTAGAATTTCCCATTAGATAACATAATAAATCTTCTCATCATTTAAATTACTTTCACTTGGACCTTCTACTATTCGCAGATGAAGTATCTTTTCTTTAGTTGACATGTAATAATTGCACATATTTGTGGGATATAGAGTAATATTTTGATACATCTGTAATGACCAAATCAGGGTAATCAGCATGTCCATCACCTCAAACATTTATCATTTATTTGTGTTGGGCACCCTCATAATCCTCTTTTCTACCTATTTTGAAATATTCAATACCATTTTGTTAACTATAGCCACCATGTAGTGACTATAGAGTGACTTCCTATCAGGAATTTTTTAACCATTAACCAATCTCTCCCTATCCTTCCGTCTCTCTACCCTTCCCAGCTTCTAATAACCACAATTCTACTTTCTACTTCTACGAGCTCAACTTTTTTTTCTAACTTTTGCATGAGTGAGAACATTTGGTATTTATCTTTCTATATCTGGCTTATTTCCCTTAACACGATGGCTTCTGGGCTCATCCACGTTGCTGTGAATGACAGAATTTTATTTGTGTGTGTGTGTGTGTGTGTGTCTGAATTGTATTCCATTGTGTATATTGATATGGTTTGGCTGTGTCCCCACCCAAATCTCATCTTGAATTGTAGCTTCCATCGTGGGGAGGGACCCAGTGGAAGATAATTGAATCAGGAGGGCAATTTCCCCCATACTGTTGTCGTGTTAGTAAGTAAGTCTCATGAGATCTGATGGTTTTATATGGGGAAACCCATTTTGCTTGGCTCTTATTCTTTCTTGCCTGCTGCCATGTAAGACATCCTTTCACCTTCTGCCATGATTATGAGGCCTCTCCAGCCATGTGAAACTATGAGTACTTTAAACTTCTTCTTCTTTATAAACTACCCAGTCTTGGGTATGTCTTTATTTGCAGTGTGAAAATGGACTAATGCATATATGTACCACATTCTCTTTATTCGTTCATCCATTGATGGATCTGTAGGTTGGTTTCATATTTGGGCTACTTTGAATAGTGCTGTAATAAACACTGGGGTGCAGGTAGTTCTTTGATATATTGATTTCCTTTCCTTTGGATAAATACCCAGTGGTAGCATTGCTGGATCATGTGGTAGTTCTATTTTTAGTTTTTTAAGAAACCTTCATACTATTTTTCATAATGGCTGTACTAATTTACATTCTCACCAACAGTGTACAGGAGTTTCCTCTTCTCTGCACCCTCTCCAGCATTTATGTTACTTTTTGTCTTTTTGAGGATGGCTATTTGACTTGGAGTGAGATGATACCCTAGTATGGTTTTGATTTGTATTTCCCTGATGATTAGTGATGTTGAACATTTTTTCATTACTTTTCTGTTTTTATGTCTTCTTTTCAAAAAAAAAAAAAAAGTCTATTCAGAACCTTTACCAAAGTATATAATTTCCAGTTCACAGAAGATTTTTTAAATGTATATTTTAGTTTTCATGACTCTAGGTTAATCTGGTAATACACTTTACTTATATTTTCAAGATTTAAGAACTCTTTTCCACTCATTATCCTAAGATTGCCATCCATCAGAATAGTAAAAATAGTCAGAGATGGTGAAGAAATATGTAGACAGAAAAAGAAGTAAAATAGACAAGGAGACAGAGAAGGAAGTAAACAGAGTCAAATTATGAGAATAAACTGTGTCAGAAAATTGAGTTCAAGTCTTTATTCCACAATGTCTGACAGAAAGGGAAAGGAAGATAGTTCAGAGAGAGATAAACAGACAGAAGTTATCTACTGACAGAGGGAGAAGGTAAGGATGGATGCAATTCAGTACAATGTTTGTCTATTTTTAAATTTTATTTTACTAAATATTAAGTAGGTACTAAAGTTCATTTTAAAATTTATGTAAGCTATATAGAATCATGACCCAATGAACTCTCATACACCTGCCACCAAGTTTGTAAAAGGACATTATCATTGTGCTAGAAGGCCCTGATGTGTGGGCCTTCAATTCCATCCCCTTACAGATAACCTGAATCTACAGCCAATATCTGGCTAACTCCATCAACCCAGATGATTATTGCTTGGTAGAGGCAGGTTGGAAAGAAGTGAGTACCTATCATCAGAGACTCAGAAGCTGGAGATGATATGGTTCCCGCTCTCACTTACAGTCTGGTAGGGAAAGAGAAATGAATACAACTAGCTGTGGTACAAGGCAAGATGTGAGAAGTACCATGATAAGAGGACTAAATCCTAGAAAAACACCGAAAAAGAACCAGACATTGTGCCATCTGGGGTGAGCAGGGGAAACTTCATGGACAAAGTGGCCTATCTGCCTTTAACGAAAAGGATTTATAAAGATGAAAGGAAAGGGCAAATGTAACAATCATTAAAAAGGCAGGGAAGAGAACATGGTCTGAATGACTGTTCCATCCAGGGATGACTGGGTATAGGAAAGGGAAGAGTACAACTTCAGGCTAGGATGAAAGTACAGAGTTTGGTAGAAATCCTCTGGAAAATAAAAATTCTTCTAGAAACTAAAAACTAGTAGTTATAAGTTCAAGCAATATTTATTTTCTGCACAAAGGAGTCTGGAAGATTTTCACATGTGTCTCATCTCTCCTTTCTCTGCCTACCCTGACTATCACCCCTGCATCAAATCACTTATCAAACACCACCAATTCTCCATCCATACCCTCTCTTCTTTCTCTTCTTCTTTCTGTCACTCGAATTCCACTGTGTGCTTAATGACTAAAAGATTCCTGCATGGTGCCATGTTTCCTCTCTCCCTCTTCAATCTACACCTGAATTCTTTGAATGGAAGGCTAGGGACCTGGCTGCTCAACAGGATGCAGAGGTCAAGGAGATGACTGTGGCTTACAGCTGGGGAGGAAAGCCTGCAGTGAGAGCCATGAACACAGGACTAAGCCACAAGTCATAGGGAGGGGGTGTAGGTGGGTCAAAGTCAAGTTTGGAACCAACTGGAAAGCAGGGTACACAAAAAACTAGTGGTGTCAATGGGAAGCCATCAATAATACGAGGCACCAAGGACCCCAGGTTGGTTGTTACTGGGGCCAGTTGTATGGAGAAGGGGACAGAACTGCCAGGCTAGGGGAGACACACAGGACCAGTGACCACATAGCAACTCCAGTGAAATGTCTTCTTCCAGGGCCCAGTTCACCCAGCCTCCTTGCGCTCCTTGAAGAGATCTTTGACAGTACTCTCAGGCACGCCCCCCCCATCCATTTTGCTCTTTGCCCTGTCTCTACCCCACAGGGCAGATTGTAGAAGCTGCACAGGCTTTGCAGCCTGACCAACCTAAGATTGAAGCATATCAATCAATAGGATTGGTGAGCTTCCCTTAGCCTCAGCTTCCTCAGAGAGAATGACACCTGTTTCAAGGCATCATTGTGAGGAAGAAATGAAAGTACACAAGGCCCATGCCAGATGTAGAGTAAAGGCTTGATAAATAGGTCTTTATTTTTCAGAGACAGGGTCTCACTCTGTTGCCTAGGTTGGAGTGCAGTGGTACAACCATAGCTCACTGCAGCCTCACACTCCTGGCCTCAAACGATCCTCCTGCCTTTGCCTCTCAAAGTGCTGGGATTACAGGTGTGAGCCACTGCACCCGGCCTAGTTCTTTACCCAGCAAATATTTACAAAGTACCTACTGTGAGCCAAACACCCTACCAGCTGCTGGGGATACTATGGTGAGCAGAACCAGACATGTTCCCTGTCCTCATGCAGCTTCCAGTCTAGAAAGGAAGCCAGACATTAATTTGTAACCACAAAAATAATGGCAAAGTAATAGGTATGAAAACAGTTATGGGGGCTGAGAACGTGTGTATTTAAGAGGTTTGGTGATTCTGAGAAATCAGGAAAAGCCATCTTCAAAACCCTGCTCAAAAGCCTGCCCTAATTCCTCCCAACTGGAATTGATCCTATTGGCTTATATATTCTCAGCAGGAAGCCTGCATCCTGCAATTGACACTTAGCTTACCGTATTGTGTCTAGTATTTTCACCAGAGGCGTACACATCCTGTCTCCTCTGCCAGAGTGTAAATTCTCTGTAGGCAGTGTAGGCCATCTACATCTTTGTGTGCTTCACAGTATCTGTTAAAAGTCAATTATTTTAATGAATAGGTGAAATTAGCTTCCTGAAAGCTGCCACAATTTAACTGGACTCAAAGCTTAATATATGCTTTTTGCAAGCCAAGTTCTCATTGATTTCTAAGTCATTTGTCAGAACATAAGAGGTAGTGTGTAGGGAAACAATAATTTGGCTTCTGAGAAGTTGCATAATATCCATATCTCATAGGCTGTAATACCCCTACACGCCTGCTGAAAAATCCCAGACCTGAGTTTGACTCACCTATTATTTAGGGATACACAGACAAGAAAAAGCGAGACTACTATAATTCCGTTTGCCAAATTTTCAATCTCTAAATTTTACAATTAGAATCTCAATTTGTGATCTATAGAAAAAAATAATCAAATACCAGGAAAAAAAAAACTCTGGAATATTCATGCCTGTTAGATTGCTTATGTAGGAAGGGAAAAATATCTTTTCCTTCTACCCTTTTAAATTCAGAGCTGAATCCTCTATAACAAAAGATTAACCAGAGAAAAACATAGTGATTTATTTAAATAAATTCTATATAACACAAGGGCCATCTCTAGGGAATGAAGATCAGAGGAAACAGTTACACTTGAGTGTTTTTAGTAGTAGGTTTGATGAAGAATGGAGAAAGACTTGGAGAAATAAGATCAGGCAAAAGGAGTACTAGATCTAATAGGAATAAATGGAGGGAAACTTAGCAGGGCCCGTTTGTTCAGATTCTCCTCTGTGTACCTGTGTCTTGGGAGATAGGGAACTGCCTTTCCTCTGTGGATATAGGAAGAGCACTTCTCACATGAGGTCCTATGATGTGTTTTCGAGGAAGGTCAGCAAAGGTTTTATTACCTGCTTCCGGGGAGAAAGGTGGCAAAGGAAGGTCAGAGTAATATTTCCACTTAAAATTTGCCATTTTCTCAAATCCTTCAGCTTAAAACATTCAGTTCGCCAAGGTGCCATATTTTGGGGTAGCATGTCCTCAACCCCATCACTGATTATTAAATCTGACCCTGCAGTTAACCCTGTAAATCAATTCAGATAAGCAATTTTAACCATATAATGATGGCCAGGAGATTAAGTTCCACCTTAACTCTGGAAAAACATTTTTATATTTTAATGTTAAGAGCTGCCCTCTTGTCTACATGTGCTTTTTTTATTGTCATTAATAACTATAATTATGCTTGACATTAATAATGGCTATAACAAATATGAAAGCCAAAAGAATCAAAGGAAACGTTTTGCTGTTAGATTTAAGTACTTAAGTATTTTATTTAAATTCGTTTTATTTTGGTATTTTTGATTTTTTTTTTTTTTTTTTTGAGACAGAGTCTTGCTCTGTCGCCAGGCTGGAATGCAGTGGCATGATCTTGGTTCACTGCAATCTCCGGCTCCTGGTTTAAGCGATTCTTTTGCCTCAGCCTTCTAAGTAGCTGGGACTACAGGCACGCGCCGCCACACCCAGCTAATTTTTGTATTTTTAATAGAGGCGAGGTTTCACCATGTTGGCCAAGATCATCTCGATCTCTTGACTTCGTGGTCCTCCCGTCTCGGCCTCCCAAAGTGCTGGGATTACAGGCGTTAGCCACCGCGCCCGGCCTCTTTGAATTTTTTTAAAAACATCCTGGTGCCAAAAGGCAGCAAAATTCATAAATGCAAACAAACGTATAAACAAACAACCAGACCCTCTTAAATAATCTACAAAATAGAAATAATCTATCTGCATAGGAAAAAATTATCAAATCAGCACCTACAATGTGGCCCAATAAAAGAAAGGGTTTTCATATTTGATCCTTTTTTTAGTTCCTCAAAATTAAAATCTTGACTCCATTCTGTGCTGTATGTGATAGATTTTTTTAAGAAGAGAAAGAGTAGGAATTCTCTTGCTGTTTCCATGGGTTTCATCATCTTGTTTTCCATGACTCATAATGGCTTCTTGCAAATACTCTTGTTCCCTTGATCTCATGGGTCAAATGAATGCTCTTAAGCTAGTTTTCATCAACCAGTCAGCATTCCTCTTGCTTTCCAACTGTGCATCCTCAGCTGGACCCAAACATTTTCCAGTCTACTCATTCACAAAATAAAATTATGAGTATTCTTCAAAGGGCTCAGTCCAAGGTGCCCAGGGATATTCTGAAGATTTAAATAAAAGCAAGAAAATATTATTCACACAAAAATTTTGTTAAGTGTCACTTGAATTAGAACTGGTAGAAAACAATTTTAAAACCATTTGTTAAAACTATGCCTTATAAGACCACCAAAAAATGTCCTCAAGTCTCCGATTCAGGGCTCTTTCAGGGCAACCTGACTGCCTCAGCCTCCCAGAGTGCTGGGATTACAGGCATGAGCCACCGCACCCTTCCATGACTTCTTTTCCTTTGGGTAGATACCCAGTAGTGGGATTGCTAAATGGAGCAGTAGTTCTATTTTTAGTTTTTTTGAGAAATCTCCATACTGTTTTCTGTAGTGGCTATACTAGTTTACATTCCTACCAGCAGTGTATAAGAGTTCCCGAAGTTGGGATAGTTATTCTCTCTTTTCAGGGTGACCCCAGGGCTGATTCTGTGTGATGCGATGGCATCCCCCATTATATCCCTAAGAAGACAATGTGCTCAGTGATAACAAACTTCTCAGCCTAGGACCAAGGAAACCTAGAGTCTCCTCTAACATCTGCTGCTACAGTATGTTTGGTTTATTTTCTATATCTATCAAATGAAAGTGTAAGTGTTCATGCCAGTTTCTTTCACTTATAACATTCCATGATTCTAGCACAGAGACATAGAAATTGGGATTTATTCATTTCACTCGACAAATCCTTATTGAACATCTAAACACTAAGCATCATGTCCTCTGAAGGAGGAGTCTCTCTATTGTGCTCCCCAAGGCCCTCTCTTCCCATGTGAGTCCCTCTGTCATGTTACTTGAGTCTTTATTGGAATTAGGGGTTCTCTAATCTGACTCCTCCATTGACTACATTGTTGTTTTTGTCAATGAGTAGAATTCTCAACATACAGTAGGTGGTCAAAAATCATTTGGTGAATGAACAAAGAAAGAGGATCCCTTCAGATGCAAAGATAAGCATCCCAGAATGAAGAACCAGAATCAGAGGTCTCAAGCATAATAATATCCAGTAATATATCATTGACACAATCATATGACTACACTATATGCTACTTAGGAATTTCTGAGCCAACAGCAGACCCCAGTTGCATTGAGACCCAAAGTACTAAGACCCGCCTCTCTTTAATCTCAAACACAGATAGATCCTTGGCACTTAGTTTCAGTTTGGCGTATTGAGCCATCTACGCTGGATCCCTTTGGCTGTCTCTCCCAATCTGCCCTCTACTCATTTCCACCCTGCTTGGTGCCCTGGGAGGTCAACTTACATAACTGCCTTCATTGGGCTGTAGTGCCCTCTGGCTCTGGCTGGGTTTGGTCAATGGGGGAGTACTAGCACATTAGAGGAAGAAAGGATGGCAAAGTTGGGGTTGTTTGTACACATTTATGGGGTACCTGCTAACTTTTGTTCTATGTATATGATACATAGTGATTAGTGATCAAGTTAGAATATTTAGGGTATCTGTAGCCCAAGTACAATACATTTTTGTGTAATTATAGTCACCCTACTGTGCTTTCAGATGTTGAATTTATTCCTTCTACCTAACTGTACGTTTGTACCCTTTAATCCATTTCCCTTCATCCTCTCCCCACAACTTACCTTTCCCAGTCTCTGTTCTCTATCTTTCCACTCTACCTCCATGTGATCAATTTTTTTAGCTCTCATCTACAAGTGGAGAACATCTGATATTTGCCTTTTTGTCCGTGGCTTACTTCACTTGAGATAATGACCTCCAGTCCCATCCATGTTGCTGCATTTTTTACAGCAAATGTTTCATTGTGTATATGGACCACATTTGTTTATCCATTCACCTGTTGATGGGCACTTAGGTCCATTCCATATCTTTGCTATTGTCAATAGTGCTACAATAAACATGTGAGTATAGGTATCCCTTTACTATAGTGATTTATTTTCTTTTTCTGTTTCTTTCTTTCTTTCTTTTTTTTTTTAGACATGGTCTCACTTTGTCTCCCAAGCTAGAGTGCAGTGGCATGAACACAGTTCACTACAGCCTCAACTCCCCAGGCTCAAGTGATCCTCCTGCCTCAGCCTCCCCAGTAGCTGGGATTTCAGGCACATGTCACCATGCCTGGCTAATTTTTGTATTTTTTGTAGAGACAGGGTTTCACCATGTTGCTCAGGCTGGTCTTGAACCCCTAAGCTCAAGCAACCTGCCCGCCTCAGCCTCCCAAAGTGCTGGGATAACAGGCGTGAGTCACTGCACCCCGCCGTGATTTCTTTTCCTTTGGGTGGATGCCCAGTAGTGGGATTGCTGAATGGAACAGTAGTTCTAATTTAAGTTTTTTGAGAAATCTCCTACTGTTTTCCATTGTGGCTATACTAGCTTACATTCCTACCAACAGTGCATAAGAGTTCCCAAAGTTGGGACAGTTATTCTCTCTTTTCAGGGTGACCCCAGGTTATCGTGTCCCTTGAGCAAATGTCACAGCTCCTGTCAAACAGCCCTCCTCACACATTTTGTGTGTGTCTCTGTGTGTGTGTATATGTGTGTGTGTGTACATGCGTGCATGTCTGCCTCTGTCTCTGTCTCTCTGGGTTTCTTTCCCCTTTAGTCTTAAAGACAGTAGCAGGGCCCCACTATTCCTTGTCTCAGGGTACTGCATTCTCCCTTTTCGTTTTTCCCACATCCTGGCTTAATATGCCCTTCATTAAACTCTTCTCAAAGTATTCAATTTGAGTACAATATCAATTTCCTGATAGTACCTTGACTGATAACCACCAACGTATTATGAACAAAGCACAATAAGAGGGGTACTAATAAATGCTAGTTTCCCTCCCCTTCTCTATTATAATTTTTATACTCCCTACAATGGCTATTCCTAATGCCTTTAACATAATTGCCACTTAAGGAAGATTTGATGAATGAATGAAAAAAATTTCAACACTTTTGACCATACTTTTAGACTTAAATACATGGAAATCAATATGCATTAATTTAGATTATCAGATGTTACATTTAGAGAAGTTTTTATTTCAATATCAGGGAGTAGGCAGTTTGCTTTACACATCTCATTCTCTGTTTTCTCATAGTCTAACTAAATTATGGCTCAACTCCAGGAAAAACAGGGTCAAGGGATAAGCTAACATCTCAGGAGCAGTTTAAAAAACTAAGAGATCCATCTACTGATCCTCCCTAGATCTTGGAGAAAATAGTCATTTTATTTCATGTCATCTAATTCATATGAACTGACTTTGCAAATTCATCATTTTCTACCTCCTACCAGACAGAAATGGAGTTGGGGTTCAACTGTGCCCCCTTGAATCTATCTGTGTTTATAATGAATAAAGTCGATAAAGCCAAATAATCACTCACCGTGTATATTGATCTCACGGATACACTGCGGAAGTAACTTATAGTTCTGGTATTGGGGGAAGCACTTCCTGGACTTCATCCAAAGGCAGCCTCTGCGTGGTCTCTGCTGTTTAAGAAGGAGAACTGTTTTAGTCTATATTTAGTAAATAGCAAAAAGAGACATGCCTATTCTAATGTAGTAAGTGTAGCAAGAGAACCATGCTCGACCTCTAGAAAGGATTTTGGGACTTTCCACCCTCTCTAATTTTCCTGCCTACCTCTCTAACACCTTTCACCCAGTTCTCTCAACTGCTTGCCCCACGTCCTGGGCACAAAGACCTGAAGCATAGTTAAGGAAGACAACGTAGAGAACAAATTTAAAGTCCAATGTCAAGTAGCAAGCAAAGAATCTTTGTTTGGAAACTGCAAACATTTTATTCTATCACATTTTGTTGAAATATGTCCCTAAGGAGAATATTAATGATGTCTTTGATCTCAGGGACAATTTTACCAAGAAGCAAAGTTACAAATTAGATGAATTCTAATCTGTCTTCCTGCTCATGACTGTGTGACTTTATAAAATTCCTCTAATATTATCCTCAGCTGACTTCAAAGTGGAAGATGAAACTTTATTTCCTATATCATGGCATCTCGTTCATTCTCTTGAGATCCAGGGTCTTGTTTTTCTAGCTTTAATATTAAGAATTGAGTTTTTGTTTCATAGACATCTCTACTTTTGATACAAAGCCCTGAATTGAGGTGACTTACAATTTTTTTTTTTTTTTTGAGACAGAGTTTCGCTCTTGCTGCCCAGGCTGGAGTGCAGTGGTGCTATCTTGGCTCACCACAACCTCCACCTCCCGAGCTCAAGTGATTCTCCTGCCTCAGCCTCCCGAGTAGCTGGGATTACAGGCATGTACCACCATGCTCAGCTAATTTTGTACTTTTACTAGAGACAGGGTTTCTCCCATGTTGATCAGGCTGGTCTGGAACTCCTGACCTCAGGTGATCCACCCGCCTCAGCCTCCCAAATTGCTGGGATTACAGGTGTGAGCCACCATGCCCAGCCAAGGTGACCTACAATTTAAAGAGAAATTTGGGTGATTGCTTAAGAAGATAAATCGGAAAGGGAGATTTAGTATATTCAAGAAAATGATGCTTCTTGTCCATGAAGATGATCAAACACTGGTATAGAAATACTGTAGAACCTTCTCTGGGATTTTTTTTTTTTTTTTTTGAGACAGAGTCTTGCTTTGTCACCCAGGCTAGAGTGCAATGGTGCGCTCTCAGCTCACTGCAACCTCCGCCTCCTGGGTTCAAATGAGTCTCCTACCTCAGCGTCCTGAGTAGTTGGGATACAGACATATGCCACCATGCCCAGCTAATTTTTGTATTTTTAGTAGAGTCTGGATTTTGCCATATTGGCCAAGCTGGTCTTGAGCTCCTGACCTCAGGTGATCTGCCCGCCTCGGCCTCCCAAAATGCTGGAATTACAGGCGCGAGCCACTATGCCCGGCCTGGTACATTTTTTTAATTAGAAAATTTCCTTCCATAATATTTTTGAAATTTAATTTTCTGAATAAGGAATATGCTTTCATGATTAAAATTTTTAAACTATGAAGGAACAGTTAGGAAAATGGCTCCCTCTTCCCCAGTCTCCCAGAAAATCACTTCCCACCACATCACATAATTTCTTACTTTCTTTTCTTCTTCTGCCACAGGTAAGCAAGGTTATTAGTGTTTTGTGGGGTTTTTTTGTTTTTGTTTTTGTTTCTTATTGAGAAAGAGTCTCAGTCTGTCACCAGGCTGGAGTGTAGTGGCACAATCTCTGCTCACTGTAACCTCCACCTTCCAGGTTGAAGCAGTTCTCCTGCCTCAGCCTCCAGAGTAGCTGGGATTACAGGTGTGCGCCACCATGCCCAGTTAATTTTTTTTTTTTCTATTTTTAGTAGAGACAGGGTTTCAACATGTTGGCCAGCATGGTCTCGATCTCTTGACCTTGTGATCCACCCTCTTCGGCCTCCCAAAGTGCTGGGATTACAGGCGTAAGCCACTTGCGCCCGTCCAGGTTATTAGTTTTTTGTATATCAGTTTTTGTGTATATATGTGCTACATATATACACTCTATATGTGTATCTATGTGTAATATATGCACTGTATATGTATAACACACTATATATGTATATGCTATATATACTGAGTATGTATATATAATATATACATTGTGTATATAATTTATACTTTTATTATGTATATGCTATTTTGGTCCTTTTTTACATAATTGGTAAAAAATATATGTCTACCATATACATATACATTTCACACCATACCCAATTGGTATGAAAATATATGTATACTATATGCATATGAATACTTAACAATATATCTTAGACATCTTCCCACATAGCACTTTCTCATTTCTTTTTACAACTCCCCGGTATTCCATTGCATGGATGTATCATCAAGTAAACAGCCTCCTTTTTGTATTATGTCTCATCTTTGGATATTGCAAACCCTCTAGCAATAAACATTGTACATACATCATTTCTCTCCTGTATAAGTAAATCTATAAATTTCTAGGAATAATTTTGCTAGATCAAATGGCTTATGTATTTGTAACTTTGATAGTTACTACCAAACTAGCTATCCCAGAAGTTGTACCAATTTACCTTCTGACACATAAGGTATGAGAGTTCCTATTGTGCTTTGTATTGAGTGTGGTGTCAAACTTCTGATTTTTGCCAATCTGATAGATTAAAAATAGCATTTCAGTGTAGCTTTAATTTGCATTTCCACTAGAATGTAAGCTCCATGAAGCAAAAATCTTTTTGTTTTGTTTTGTTTGTTGGTTTGCTTTTGAGACGTAGTGTCACTCTGTCACTGGAGTGCAGTGCACTCTAGCCTCACTGCAATCTCAGCTCACTGCAACCTCCACCTCCTGGGTTCAAGCAATTCTGCCTCAGCCTCCTGAGTAGCTTGGATCACATGTGTGTGCCACCACACCTGGCTAATTTTTGTATTTTCAGTAGAGATGGGGTTTCACCATGTTGGCCAGGCTGGTCTCAAACTCCCAACCTCAAGTGATCCACCCGCCTCAGCCTCCCAAAGTGCTGGGACTACAGGCATGAACCACCATGCCCTGTCTCTCTTTTTTTTTTTTTTTCTGGGGAGTAGCGGGTAGGGATTCACTGCCTTCTATATCCAGAAGGTCAATATTATTAATATTATTGGCACATAGTAGGCTCACACACACAAAAAAAACTGTTTCTGGAATAATTTATTCTGAGTGACCCTGAGCAGCCTTTCATGTGTGTAAGTGCCAGCCATTTGTATTTCCTTTTCTGTAGGCAGTCCGGTCTTATCCTTCACCATTTGCCTACTGGATTGTGGTCTTTTCTTCAATTATTAGAAGCTCCTTATTTACTAGAGATTTAGTTGCTTACTTAATAAACTGCAAATAATTTTGCCTATTACTTGTTGGTCTTTTATCTTAGCTTGTGATACTTTTTTTGCTGTGTACGTTTTTTTCCACATAGTCAATTTGATGAGTCTCTTCTCTGAGTTACTGTCATGATTAGAAAGACCAATTTTGCAGTTACGAATGAGTCATAGCATTGATTCTTTTATTACTTTTATAGTTTAATGTTTAAGATCATTGATCCATTTAAAAGTCACCCTAATGTGAGTGTGAGATCTTGATTGAGTTAACTTGTTGTCCTAAATGATTACTCAGTCGTCCCAATACCAGTCAGTTGGTAATCCAGTACCTTGATGGACTGAATACCTCTCCTCTATTCTTCCATTTCAATTTTTTCCTGGCTACTACTCACAGTTTACTTTCCATAGGGATATTGAAATGAACCTGTTTGTTTCAAAAGATATTATTTTTATTTATTTAGGAAGAATTAGCATCTTTATATATTCGTCTTCCTCTTCAAGAACATGATACACTTTTCCTTTATTCAAGTCATTTTTATGTCACTCAGCAGCATTTTACTGAAGTTTTCTTCAGAAAGATCCTGCAAATTTCTCATTAAGTTTATTCCTAGTTACTTTATCTATTTATAATTGTTTTATATGCAGTGTATCCTCTAACTGGTTATTGTTTAAATAGGTGGATCCTATTGATTTTTAAAATATTTTTATACCCTGTCCCTTACTGAATTTTTCTTTTTTATGATTTTTTTTAGGGAATTATCTTAGATTTTCCAGGTACACAATGGTATCATCTGCAAAATAAGTGATCATTTTACCTATTCTTTCCAATTTTGAAACTTGGTATTTCTGATCGCTTAACTAACTGCATTGACTAGTACTTCCAATACAGTGGTTGATAAAATGGCAGTAGTAGACATCCTAGAAAATTTCTGGCTTGGCAGGGCACGCTTTTAGTGTTTCCCTATTAAACATATTTCTGGGGTTTTTTGTTTGTTTGAGCCAAATATATTTTATCATTTTATCACATTAAGGAAGTATATATTTATCTCATTTTTATTAGAAGCTACAATGAAAAATGCATTGTATTTTGTCAAATGCGTTTTTAGTATAACCAACCATTTATCTCTATAAATATGATGATGAGTAACAGGTTTTCTAATGCTAAACTGTCCTGTAATTCCTGGAATAAGCTCCCTTGATCAGGCAGGATTGCGTGTGTGTGTGTGTATGTGTGTGTGTGTGTGTGTTATTTTTAAACTGTGCTACTGGATTGCTAATGTTTTATTTAGGATTTTTGCATGGATATACACAAGTAAGATTTCTCAATGATTTATTTATTTTTTCTTTCTTTCTTTTTTTTTTTTTTTTTTTTTTTTTTTTTTTTTTTTTTTTGAGACAAGCTCTTGCACTATCACCCAGGCTGAAGTATAGTGGTGCTATCATAGCTCACTGCAGTCTCAAACTCCTGGGCTCAAGCAATCCTCCTGCTTCAGCCTTGCAAAGCCCTGAGATTACAGGCATGAGTCACTGCATCCAAGCTGATTTCATTTTAGACTCAATCTTTCTTGGATTTGAATATTATTAATAATGTTTATTTCAAAAATAGAATTAGGAAATATCCTTGGTCTTGCAACAGTTTAAATACCATAGGAAATACCTATGTCTTAGAGATTGGTAACATTCTCCTGT